GAACCCTCTCTCTTTAAATGCCGATATCCCTCTCTAACGCGTTGCAAACTCGTCGCTGCTCTTTGCTTATTCTTCCTCGGTTTGTCGGCCGTCGCTGCTGCTTGGCTGTCTCTGTTCTTCTTCGTCAGCTACCCCTTTTCTTGCTTCTTCAGTTGGTAAGTGGTCTGATGTCTCTCTCACTCATCCCCCCTCTCTCTGATGTCTCTCTCTGTTCGTTTGTTCAAAATAAGGGCTGGGTCTTATATCTCTTAAAAATTTAATTTGAATTTTCTCCTTATATTGCAATGGATGTCTAAGGCATGCAAGAGGACCAATAGAGTTGATTTTAGAATGATTTTAATAATAGACTTGGAGTAGCTTTTGTAATATTTCAGTGAAGCCGGTGCTTCCTCTAGCTATAATATTTTTATTAGGAAATTATGATTATTTATTGATTATATGACTTTTTATGGGCTACTATATGTATTAAATATAAGTTATATTATATATGTTAAAAAAATTATTTAATATCAAAACATGTCCTAACATGTCGAAATATGAATTTTTTAAAATTTATGTATCAGAGTGTCGTGTCGTGTGTCCCGTATCAGTGTCTGTACATCATAGCTTAAAAGTATTAGACGAGCCTTTACATTGATTGGAAGTAACAAGCAAATATGATAATTTTTTTTTAAAAATTGACATGAATGATAACTTAATAATCATGAAGGGGATGGAAGGATTGAAATTATCATTAAAATAAGAGCTAACGCGATTATAATAATGTCAACCTTCATGGCTGTTTACATTTTATAAGCGTTAGAAAGAAAAAGAAAAGAGGTAGAGTGCTTAATGTTAAAAAGTTTCACTTCCCACCAATCAATACAGGGGATATGAAAATTGAGGAATTTGAGTGATATGAAGTGATTCGCCCTTTTTTTAATCCATTCCACTCTCTTACTTTAAAAAACTCTCAAATAATATGTGGAACTTGGTGTAGTACTTCACTTTAGTATTAATCATTCTATTTCATCCATCTAAATATAAGTAGACTTGTTTAGAAAGTTATCCAGAAATTACATGGGGACTAGTAGGATATTATTTAATGATTTGTACTAAAATCTCCCAGAAATTAGTGAAAATCAGTATGAATAAATATCATTATTAAAATTCAAAATATTTTGTCACATCTAATTAAAATCAAGTGCGGCATACCAAAAAAAATAAAATCAAGTGCTTCTATCCAAAAATATTAATAACTCTTTTTCCATAGGCTAAACTTTATTATTATAATGTAAAGAACAATTTTCATCCAAAAATTTAAATTGTTGGACGATATTATATTAATAATTTTATATTTCTCTAACATAATTTTTACATGAGAGTTTATTGGACTTAAAAGATAAATGATGAATTAGACTCAATTTACCTATGCTAATAAATTTCACAATATTTAATTAATTTTATTAATAAAATAGGGGTAACAATACTATCAAAGGCTCTTATATCATGTATAAAATCATTTAAACTTAAAAATTTAAACTATTAGATGATATTATATTAATAATTTTATATTTCTCTAAGCTATGAATTAATTATCACATCAAAATTAAGGTGTATGTGGAACACTATGCTCTTCTAGAGCATGTAGGCTTTATGTTTTATAATTTGTTTTTGGTACATCATGTGTATTCTTTGTACGTGTCTATTATTGTGCTGCTTAAATTATTTGTTGTAAGTTGTAGCAAGATTGAAAAGTGAAACTTCGAAATTTCTTTGTGAAACTTTTTGTTTGACAATAATTGTTAGGATAAGGGAAGTTTGAAAAGTTGAAGTTGATTGGTATTAGTTTGTCGGGAAGGGATTTGTCGTATCTACTCAAGCGAGTTTGGGGTTAAACCCTAGGAATGAAGGACGCACCCAATCATCCCACATTTTGGGAAGTACTAATGGCTAGTTTAGCACTTCATAATATATTTTACATTTTCCATAGGCAAAAATGCCACCTCAAAGTTCAAACCCAATAGATATTCTTTTAAATTTTACATAAGCAAAAATAGCATTTGAATAAATAAATTTCTCACAAATTCACATACGATGCTGCTTTGTCGTTACAATTTTTCTCAATAGTTTATATGAGTTTATTTGTGTGGACTTGTGAAAATAAAATATATATAAATTTATTTTTCTTTTTATGAATTGTATAATAAAAAAATTGATGTATTATCATTTATTTAAATAAATTAAAATTTCTGTGCAATTTTGATGCCAAACATTTATTTGTATGAGTAATTTTAAATTTTCATAATCAGTTAGCATATGATTTTCTTAGATATTTAAACATGAATGAAATGAAACCCAACATGTATGACCATTTAACGTTTAACTCTGTTCTTTATGTAATTGTTAGACCTTTAAAATTTCTTATTTTATTATTTTTTTTACAGAAAAATTTCCATTTTAGTTTAAATAGCAACGTATCAACTTCTTATTAAGATAACAAGAATAATTTATGTAGAAGAAATTTCAAGACGATAATAGAAATACTATTACTGAAAGAAATATTGTCTTTTATTATTTAGTTTAAATAAGAGAAATTTAAAATCTCCCTAATAAATTACAATAATAATTCTCCAAATTAGTTATTAAATAATTTTTTAATTTTCATTTTTTTGTTAAGATGAACAAATAATGTAATAAAGATAATCTGAAGTGAATTATAATTATACATGAGAATTTGAAAAGTAATTATAATTAATTAGAAAGTAAGAATTATTTATAGTTTTATTTTTTATGTTTATTTTTAAATTTTTATTTAAATAATAAGTTACATATATAGTTCTATCATATTTATATTTTTTATATTTTTCTTGGAAATATAAATGAGTAATTAATAATCATAGTTTTGAAATATATACACTACAAAAAACCAGGTATTTAGCGGCGGTTCATTTTTGGTATACGCGACGGTTACGACCGCCTCTAATTGCAAAAATGCATTTAGCGACGGTTACAACCGTTGCTTATACCAAAATGAACCGCTGCAAAATGTCTGTTTTTTTGTAGTGATAAAAAAATGGACACTATAGTGTAAAATTTCCTTTATTATAATATATATGGGATATAAATATAGATATATGTAACTTGAGAAAGTGTAAACAAATATGGAAATATATTATTTGGCGCCAAAATGTTTTGTCAAAATTTACAATCTTTAAAACATTTTATGTTTTTCCCTAAATATTATATACTTTTTATTATTGAATTTCAACGGTAACTTTATACAAATATTTCATGCAAATAAAAAATGTACGATTATTATTGGAAAACGAAATAAAGATACCAATATCAACATGAGTAATTTTTATTATTTTGGCAAAATAAAAAGTAACTTATAATTAACGAATTGTGAACATATCTACTAATATACCTGTTAGATGCATGCATGAGCACGACCAATATGCAATCATCGTTTTCGTGAGATGGAAGTGATTTGATATCTTGATTTTAATTTAAATGTGAATCACGGGCGCACGGCGCACCCGCATCCATGGTTTTTTTTAATATAGAACGAAAATAAAATTTTAAAATTATAAAAAAGAAAATACTAATTATTATAAATATTTTTAGGAAGGAATTAAGTATTAGCATCATAATTATTAGTATGTTACAATACACGATACAATTTATATGATATGATACAATTCACATGTCTAGTAATGATACGTATGGAGGGATGTATTAGAAATGAATTTGTAATCGAACAATACGATATGAAAATTAAATCAAAATATGTAATTTTTAATATAAAAAATAAATAAAGATTTAAATTAAAAAATCTAAAATAATCTTTTTTGGAAGAGGATGATGTATTAGTTATATCACATATAGATATTGATAGTGATAATAATGATAATATTAGTCTTGATGATTGATAAGCGTGAGGATAACATATATTTTGCTTATTAGATCATTTTAGAAATTTGAATTTATATGATATTAATTACATTATATATTTTTAAATTATTTTTTATTATATTTTTGTATCTCGATATAATTGATTATACACAATACTTAATAATAAAAAAAATTAAAATTTAGGGAGTAGCTGTTGATTGGAATCGTTACATAAGCAAACTGAATTCATATGGTATGACAAATATACAAATTTTGAAACATTATTCTCTAACAATACTTTTTGTATTATCCCAAAAGTTAATATCACACAAAAAAATATACTAAAAAAATTACACTCAATAATCAAAATAAGGAGTTAATAAAAAAACAAAAAAAAAAAAACTGCACCTCTTTCTTTATTGATAGTAACATTTTTGTAAAATAATATAATAAATCTAGCCTAGCCACGTAGATTTAGTGGCATGAAATGAACCCCACCACAGCCCACCAGGTAGGGTGGCTTCTCCGTTGTCCAAAATTTGATGATATGTCTTATGTTTGTAATTTTATGTTTAATGTTTAATGTTTAATGTTTAATGTTGATGTTGTGCTTGTGCGTTGCAGAATGAATAGAGGAGGAGAGATATAGAAGAAACATGGAGAGGAGACATTGGGACAGAGAAACAAAGAGACAGCTCTAACTTGTAACAACAACACAAACACAAACACTATTCTCCTCTTTTTCTTCAGTCCACTACCCTTCTTTCATTTCTTCTTCTTCTTCTTCATCCCAATTTCACATTCACATTCTATGTTTTCTTTTCCTTCTCTAATCATCATTATCATTGTTATTATTATTATTATTATCATTAACACACAACAACAACAATACCTACTTTTTTTGCTTTCTCTTTCTCCAATCCAATATAACCTTTTGAATTGCATTTATTTATCTATCATATTTTTTTTTTTTTTTTTATATTTTTCCCAATTCAGCATTTCATTCAATTCCATTCAATTGAATTCCTTTGACTCTTCTTCGGTGTTTCTCCAATTGCTGCAATTGCGAGATCTGCCAAAACGCACCGTTTTGATCCTTCCACTGTGAACCTTCGAATTATCGGTTTGGATCCGATCGGGGCAGAAACAGCGCCATCGGATGGCGCTGTTCCGAAGATTCTTTTACCGGAAGCCGCCGGATCGCCTTCTTGAGATCTCCGAGAGGGTCTATGGTTTGTCTTCTTCTTCTTTCTATTTTCCATCTCACATTGTTTTTTGCTTACACTTTTTTTATTTCTTTAAAATAAAAAATAATCAATTTTTTTTTTTTTTTTGAGCTCCCGGGACTGCTGAATTTTTATGCGTTTTTTCTTGAGTTATGGAACAATGCCTGTGGTTATGTAATGTGTTAGTTACAACAATGTGGACATTTTTTTTGGTTTGTAGTATGCTTGAAATTGCATCACGTTGTTAAATTGATAATCTTATTATGTGTTTCTTGATTGATTGACATCAATCAAATTTTTTTTTTTTTAATGGGTTGGATGGATGGGTTTTTAATTAAAACTGTCAAAATCTGTTAGAGGATACTGAGGGGTTTAATTTGAAATAACTGGGATAAAATAGTAGTATCTGAGTCACAGTGGTAATTCATCAATTGAGGATTGTTAGTTGAAAAAACTCAGGAAGGTTGGTTTTTCTTAATAGAAACTATGTGTTTTAAGTGAGAATATTGTAATCGTAGTAAAGATGGCACTTGACATGTCAGGTTGAAATTGCTTGCTCTGTTTACTGTATAGGCTTGATTTTCTTAAGCTTCTGTTTAGCGAGTTCATTTGCTCTGTGTTTAGTGTCTTTGGCTTTTTTTAACTTTTTATTAGAATACAACTCTGATAATGAAGTTGGGAATAAGTTTTTCGAATTATGTGTTGTTGTAGAAATTTCGATGAATATTTGACTGTTCCTTGTTTTATTTATGCAGTTTTTGATTGTTGCTTCTCCACGGATGTCTTGGAAGAAGATGAGTACAAAGTTTATATTGGGGGCATTGTAGCTCAGCTACAAGATCACTTTCCAGATGCTTCTTTCATGGTGTTCAATTTCAGAGAAGGGGATGGGGTTAGGCGCAGCCAAATTTCAGATATATTGTCTCAGTATGACATGACAGTTATGGAGTACCCTCGGCAATATGAGGGATGTCCACTTCTGCCTTTGGAGATGATTCATCACTTCCTTAGATCAAGTGAAAGCTGGCTGTCTTTGGAGGGGCAACAAAATGTGCTTTTGATGCATTGTGAAAGGGGGGGTTGGCCTGTGCTGGCATTTATGCTAGCTGGTCTTCTCTTGTACAGGAAACAGTACAATGGGGAGCAGAAGACTCTTGAAATGGTCTACAAGCAAGCACCCAAAGAACTTCTACAATTTTTGTCTCCTTTGAATCCACACCCTTCTCAGTTAAGATATCTTCAGTATATTTCCAGGAGACATTTGGGTTCTGAGTGGCCTCCATCAGAAACACCCTTATATTTGGATTGTCTGATTCTTAGAGTCCTTCCATTATTTGATGGTGGAAAAGGTTGCAGGCCTGTTGTGCGTGTTTATGGTCCGGACCCTTCAAAACCTGCTATTAGAAGTTCTAAGCTTCTTTTCTCAACTTCAAAATCCCGAAAACATGTTCGCCACTACCTACAGGTGATTTTAAGTTATGCTATTCATATGAATTGTGAATTAATTAGATAGAATGTCTTCTTAAGAAATTTTAACCACAGGCAGAGTGTATGCTCGTGAAAATTGATATTCATTGTCGTGTTCAAGGGGATGTCGTTATTGAATGCATACATTTAAGTGAAGATTTCGTTCGTGAGGAGATGATGTTTAGAATCATGTTTCATACTGCATTTGTACGGTCAAATATATTGATTCTTAGCCGAGATGAAATCGATATATTGTGGGATGCAAAGGATCAGTTCCCCAAGGACTTTAAGTCTGAGGTAAGTTGTTGTTATTCTATGTCACAGCCATTTTCTGAAGTAGTAGGAGTTGAATACATACTCATATCTGTATCAGGTGCTTTTTTTGGACGCTGATGCTGTTCTACCAAATCTAGCCTCAGTCATTGTGAGTGGAGATGCAAATGAGGCTGAAAGTGCTTCACCTGAGGAATTCTATGAAGTGGAAGAGATCTTCAGCAATGTAATTGATACACAGGAAGGTAAAGGGGATTGCGATTCTCCAATGGTTCGTGACAATGCAGTAGATGATGGAAGTCATAAAGATGTCTGGAAAGAGTATTCAGATCCTCATACTTTTCAGGATTCTTCATCAGGTGATGGGATTCACCAACAGGTTGGAAGGACGGGTTTTGGTATTGATGCAGTGAAAGACATTACTGTTGATGATGTGAAGTTCAAGCCCAATGAGAGGGTGGATTCAGATACTCATGCAGTGAAAGACATTGCTATAGATGATGGAGAAAATAAATCAACTTCCACTGGAGTCACTTTTGGCGCTCTGGAGACAAAGGAAGTCACTGTGGATGAGCATGATGAGTTGGAAGTTATGCAAAACAAGTATGATGAAGATAACAATGCAACAAAAAAAGAATTAGAATCCGAGGAGGGGCAGCAGGTGCATGATCTTTCCAGACAAGAATCCGATAAACTACTTGCATCTGTTGTTCCTTCAAAGTCAAATCCAATGGAAGATACAATTGCAGCAAAGCATAAGACTAAACATCAAGAACCACCACAGCATCAAGAACCACCACAGGGTTTTCAGGCAAAACAAGCAAAACCAAATGCTCCAACTAGGTGGATTCCTTCTAACAAGGGTTCTTATCAAGAGTCAATGCATGTCTCATATCCACCATCAAGGCATCAGAATTCACCAGAGCAGTCAAATTCTACCTCTACTAAGGAGAAAATAACTGATGCCAAAGGAAGACATGCTTCTGGTTCTCATGTCTCTGGAGTAGATGTTTCTAGGGAGATGCTGAAAAATTGTAATGGGGTCAATTCAAAATCTTCAGACAGCATAGCAGAAATAGATGTAGACTTAAACTCTTCACTATCATCAATTATGTCAGTTAAAGAGACATCTCTTCAGTCTGCTACTCAAGAACCACAATTGTGCTCCGATGAAGTGCCACAATCTCCTTCTCCACCAATTTCACCATCTTCATCCTTGAATGGTAAGGTGTCTATAATGCCAAAGCCGCCGCCGCTGCCACCACCACCACCACCCACTTCAACATTATTTAACAGGCAAAATAGAGGGATGAACTTACAACTTGCAAATTCTCCTCCTCCTCCTCCTCCACCCCCACCTCCATTTTTCGGGGAAAAAAGAGAGGCCTTTTTACCTCCTCCTACCCATTGGAAATCTGTTTATTCATCAACTAACATAGTCGGAGACAATGGTGAGGCTTTACCTTCTCCTCCTGCTCCTCCCATTGCAAATAGATCAACTACAACAAAAGTTTATGAAGTACTTGGTGCAATTTCCCTTACCTCACCACCACCTCCTCCTCCTCCTCCTCCTCCCCCTCCTCCTTTGTGTTCTTTGGATAGAGCTTCATTCACTCCTTCCTCAATATCCCCAACTACATCACTTAAAGCTTCACCTCCACCACCACCACCACCTCCTTTTTGTAGAGTTCAACCTCCACCTCCATCTCCTTTCAGTAGAGCTTCACCAACACCAACTCCTCCTCCTCCTCCCTCTTTTAGTAGAACTCCATCACCACCACCTCCACCTCCTCCTCCTCCTAGTAGAGCTCCACCGCCTTCACCACCACCTCTTCCTCCATCAAATGGAGCACCACCTTCACCTCCTTTTAGTAGAGCACCACCACCTCCGCCACCACCTCTTCCTCCATCTAGTGGAGAACCACCTCCACCTCCATCTTCTTTTAGTAGAGCTCCACCGCCTCCGCCACCACCTATTCCTCCATCGAGTGGAGCTCCACCGCCTCCACCTCCACCTCCTTTTAATAGAGCGCAACCACCTTCACCACCACCTCTTCCTCCATCAAGTGGAGCACCACCTCCACCACCACCTCCTTTGATGTCTAGAACTCCACCTCCCCCGCCTCCACCAACTCATGGAGCACCATCACCACCACCGCCTCCAATGCGTGGAGCTCCACCACCACCGCCTCCAATGAATGGAGGAGCACCTCCTCCTCCGCCACCTCCAGGAGGCCGAGGCCCACCTCCTCCACCACTTCCAGGTGGCCGAGGCCCACCTCCTCCGCCACTTCCGGGAGGTCGTGCTCCTGCTCCTCCAGGTGGTGCTCCTCCTCCACCTCCACCTTTAGGTTCCAAAGGTGCAGTTGGAGCTGATCCAAGAGGGAGAGGACGTGGACTTGCACGTCCTACAGGTGCTGGTGCAATGGCAACTCGAAAATCCTCCTTCAAACCTCTGCATTGGAGTAAGGTATCAAGGGCATTGCAAGGAAGTTTATGGGAAGAATTACAAAGACACGGAGAACCTCAAATGTAATTTGACTTGTCTATTAGTGCAAGATTTTTTTTGAGTTATTTCAATTCTATATAATATGTACACTACTCTTCCTGCTTTCAATATTCTTCCTGTTGTACTGACTTGATTGCTTTTACATTCTATCTTAGTGGACAAGAGTTTGATGTTTCAGAGCTCGAGAAGCTTTTTTCAGCAAATGTTCCAAAACCTGCTGATTCTGGTGGTAAATCTGGATCGCGGCGCAATTCTGTTGGATCCAAACCTGACAAAGTCACCTTGGTATTCTTCTATTTGAGTATTCTTGAACTTAAGCTTTGAAATAATCCTTGTGTGAGAGGTGATTTGATGGTTTTCACTTGTTAGTCTTTCCTTTCCAAAGTGCAATTTACCATAATTTGTAGCTTACTTCGCAATAAAAGGTAGCTGATGTTCAACGTTTTCAATATATTAAAATTGGAATTTAATATCATTTTATTGTATGCCTGGTAATTTGTTTATAAAAGAAGTCAGTTCATTGTGATTTGACTTGAGTGATTAGGTATTTGCTCTTAATTTCTGAAGGAAACAAATGTACACTTCTCTTTAGTTTTATCATGCCAAGAAAAATATCAAACATACCTTGGTACATAAAGCATTGAAAATGGATGACTGTATTCAATACATCTCTTAGAAATTTTATTTTAATGTTATTATTCTTTCATTATTGTCTCTTCTATGTTGTGGAATTTAACATTCAGATACTGCAAAGGTGCCTTGTGGTGCAATTTTTTTTTTTGCTGTTAAAACAAATATTTATTCAAAACTCATTGAGTTGATGTTTGTTTTGTGCTTCCCTGGTATCTGATCAACAATTTGTGTATTTGTATGCTTAATTGTAGGTTGACCTAAGGAGGGCTTATAATACTGAAATTATGCTCACAAAGGTTAAGATGCCACTTCCTGATATGATGGTAAGTTGATACTTTGAAATTTTTTAATTCATTTGAGCAATTTTTGAAGTGTAATTTTGCAAGCAGGGATTTTACATTAAAGAATATTATAATGAACAATAATATTCTTTTGCATGAAACATAAATTTTAATTTTTGGAATACAAGTTTAGCAAGATGTGCGCTAGCTCTTGCTTGAAGGTGAAAATTGGATTTCATACCATCCCACAAGTTGCACTTAGGAATCTTGGATCTATCATACAACGTGACAGAATATAGGGAGATAGGTCTCAAGTTGGGTGGATGAATTTGAGAAATGCTTCTAGTGTTATTAGCGATCAAAAGGTGCCTTTCAAGTTCAAAGGAAAAGTTTACTGTACCGCCATAAGGCCACTTATGGTGCTGAATGTTGGGCAGTCAAAGGCCCACAAGAGCATATGTTAACTGTTTCAGAGATGAGAATGTTGCAATGGAGGAGTGGACGCACAAGAAAAGAAAAGATGAGGAATGAAATTATTAGAGATAAAGTAGGAACGATACATCTTAAGATAAAGATGATAGAATCTCGCCTAAGATGTTTTGGCCATATGAAAAGAACAATATAAGCCCCAGTAGGAAGAGTGGTCAAATGGAGGATAGCCCAATAAATATGGGTAGAGGAAGACAAAAACTCAGAGAAACCATTAAGACCTAGATCTAAAAGGTCTTTTTGAAAACTTAGTTTATGACCAATCACAATGGCATTGTTTGATCCATGTAGGCGACCTCACCTAGTGGGAAACTGCTATTGTTGTAATAGTATTTGCATGAGGATGATTCTTAAAATAAACTTTGATGTTTGTGCAGTTATTAGTTAAGACTAAAGGATTTTGATAGTTGATATTCATAGTGACAATCTCTTGCCATATCATATCTATGGAAACTTTATCGAACTTCTTAAATCTCCACCTATGATTTTTTCAATTTCTTGTTTAACATGTTGAAGTACATGTTCAGGCTGCAGTGCTTGCTATGGACGAGTCGGTGTTAGATGTTGATCAGGTGGAAAATCTCATTAAATTTTGTCCTACCAAAGAGGAGATGGAACTTTTGAAGGTGAAGCTTAACAATTTATATATTATTCTTACATCTTGTTTTAGCAATTAAGGATTGTCATTTCTGGCATCTCCTGTTACTATGAGTTGCTGTCTTTTACTGTGACTTTTTTGCTTTTCTAATTTTAATTCATCTTTGTTATAATTATATAGGGATACACTGGTGACAAGGAGAATTTGGGGAAGTGTGAAAAGGTATGTGATTTATTTTGGGCAAAGTATTTATATAATTGTGAAAAGAAAAATGTGATCACATAGAACATATACGGGATTCCTTTATTGGCATATCCACTTCTGATTTATGTGCAGGTGTTTTTAAATTTACATGAAAGATAATTGGGCTGTGTTGAAAGTACAGTTTTCCTCACGAGAATTAATGATAGGATAAAATACTGATATTCTGATTTGAGAGAAAAATTTGAAGTAATAAAGATAAAACTATCTAGAGCTGTTGATTTGTTTGGAAGTTATTGCCTACCTACATTAGAATCTAGAAAAACTTAATAATTGCAGAAAACTCTTTATAAGTATTATAGTCAGCCATACAGAGATTGGATGGAGTTCATGAAAAAGTCAATGTATACCAATTCAAAGTCCATGTACTAACACAATGACAGATTGGCTGCTGATGCCTGGTGGATGTGGAAGAAAAGTTGTTTTACTCTTATTAATCTCTACCTTTTAGATGTTGGATTATAAACCAATTCTTTTGGTTTTATTCAAGAACCTGTGTATGTGTGTGTGCGTGTAATTGTATGCTTATATACATTGGTTATGTTTCAGTTTTTTATGGAGCTGATGAAAGTGCCACGGGTGGAATCAAAATTAAGAGTATTCTCTTTCAAGATTCAGTTTGGGTCTCAGGTTTGCTGATATCTGTAATCTTTTTCTAAATTTGTGGTAGATTTGGTTTCTTTCTTCACTTATCTTACTTCTACTTCATGCAGATTATAGAGTTTAAGATGAGTTTAAACACAGTGAACTCTGTCTGTGAAGAGGTACTTTGCTTGTAAATCTAATTAACTTTATGTTGCTTGTATCTTTTTGACCTTGTACATTTTTGTGCTGGCAATAGGTCCGAAAGTCGCTCAAAGTGAAGGAGATTATGAAGAAAATCCTTTATTTGGGCAACACATTGAATCAAGGAACAGCGAGGGGTATGTCTTTTTTAGTAATGACAATATCTATATCATCATTCTAGTTATAGGAACAGCGAGGGGTATGTCTTTCATATGTTACCAGACAAACTTTTATGCATTTTTGTTAGATCTGATCTAATGTAGAATGTCCTGATAATGGGTAAGTATTGAGTATGAAATGTTTCCATTTTGTTCAGGATCTGCTGTTGGATTCAAGTTGGATAGTCTTTTAAAGCTCACTGACACTCGTGCTTCTAACAGTAAAATGACCCTGATGCATTATCTTTGCAAGGTATAAGTCTCAGTTGCAATATATTAAGATATTATTTGGTGGCTTACCTTTCTGTTTTTTCCTACTTGAACTCCAGGTCCTAGCTGAAAAGTCTCCAGGACTACTTGATTTTCACCTTGACCTTGTTAGCCTGGAAGCAGCCACTAAGGTGATGATTTATTTTTGGTGCTTTTTATTCAAAAGAACATAGGTCAGCTGTACCTTGCTACCCTGATATATTGGTCCAATTGCACTTTTCCCCCATATTTGTAAAACACATTCCCTCCGGTTTTAATGACTTGTTGCAATGGCCCGTCTGTCATCCAGATTAAGGTTCAGCTCCTAAGAGTTTGAGAAGCACATGCATGGCATGTGACTTATAGGTGGGAGAATGACTCAATCAATTACATAACTTTTGTCAAGTTTCAATCATCATCAAAGCACACCCTAGGACTGGGAGACAACAACTCATTACTTTAGCATAGTCACAAGGTCTTTTTAATCCTTTTGCTTCCAAAAAATCACATAAGACTATACAAATGCCATCTTAAACTGAGTGGTAATTTCCTTAATACTGTAAATTGTGGGGGAATTGCAATTGGACTATTAAATTAGGGTTGTAAAGTGCTATTGAGGTCAAAATGAATTTGTGTAGTTACAATTTTGTTAATTAATCCTTTTAAACTTTGTGTAGAAAATAGCCCCTTTTATACAAAAGTGTGCAAATTTAGAAACCTCATTTGAAATTGCAATTTCCTGTAATCATAAATTAGAAAAAAATCACATAGGAGCACATTTGTTGAACCAAGCTCCACCAAAATCCGTGTTGAATTGATACCCATTTATTACTTTATTTCACTTGTCAACTACTAGAAGGAGCTATTTCCTAGGTATTGAAAGTTTAAGGAGGTTGGTAGCTAAAATTAAAACCTTAGAGGGCTACTAACCGTATTTTGATTTTTAGCCAAAATAAAATGCTGCTGGAACTGGTTAACTTTCAGTATAAGGTAAGGGATTGCAATGAATTGATTGTAAGTTCCTGATCTTACAGATACAATTGAAGTCATTAGCAGAAGAAATGCAAGCAATCATCAAGGGATTAGAAAAGGTTAAACAGGAGTTTACTGCATCTGAGAATGATGGCCCTGTATCCGAAGTTTTCCGTAAGGTGTTTAGCATTTTTATGTCTGGATCTTATTCTTCATTATATCATGAAAAAAAAAGCATAATAAAATGCAAAGAAAGTTATGTGTCTAAGCTTAATTCATATTTTTGTTTTTCCCTGTATCATGAAGGTAGTCAACAGTGTTGTTATTACGGTTGTTATCGTCATCAATTAATCTAGTTTACAGTCAACCCTGGGGAGTTCTAGTTTAGATCTGTTGACTAAGGCTCGGCAGATTTTTTCTTAAATTGGTTTCTTCATTGTATTCAACCATTTTGGGTGATTTTTTTGGCTGACTCTTTTGATTTATAAAATGGGATATAAGGTTAGATTTAATCTAAAATGACCCAATGGCCCATACAATACTTACGTTAACACCTTTTTCCCCTTGTGTAAGGGGTGATATCATGGTTCCAAGAACCAATCTATAATAGGTGACTAATCCTAGAGAAGTAAATACTCTCTGATAGAAAATGTTGTGGAAATTTAAAAACAATTCTCAAAACCTCACAATTTATTTATTTTTCTTTAATTTGTCATGCAAATGGGTAGAGATTGGATCTGGCATTGGTCTTAAATGTTCTGGAAGGGGTTGTAGGGTTATTAATTGATTTGAGTTGGAGTTATGAACTTTTTCTTTAGGTACCAGCCATTACATCAGTGATTTAAGCAAAAGTAGAATATCACAAAAAGCATACCTGTTGTAAATAATAATAATTATTTTATTTATTGTTGTATTTTAGAAAAAGCATACCTGTTGTGAAATGTCCGCAAACTGATAGATCTGAGAAAAAGGATTCGAACAAAGGTCCTCTCGGTCCAAAAGGTCCCCGAAAAGTTTTCCGGTGGCGGCTAATGGAGGTGAGAGGCGAAAAAAAAAAAAAGGTTTCCGTTCTAATGGTGAGAGGCGGAAGCAGAGCCCTCAGAACTGAGAGCTCTGGTACCAAGTTGAAAATAGAAGGGAATATATTATTAAGTTGTGTATAAACTGTACAAAGGGTTCTCTATTTAAAGAGACTACATGACCTATTGGGCTAAACCCAAGGAAGATTCTAAAATACAACAATAAATAAAATAATTATTATTATTTACAACAATACCACTACAAGCCTTCATTAAGGCTTATGGGATAATCCTACCTTGGAGTTGAGCAACCTCCATTCCTACTAAACTTTCATATACCACCCCCCTCCCCCGACCCCAAAAACAAAAAATACACTATTACATAAATATAATATAAAACCATTAATGTGACCTCACCTATTAGCTTAAACTTTTCGTTTGAATTTGTTGCTTTACATGATATCAAAGTCTCTATGATCCAGTGCTCTCGTTCTATGAATAAAAGTTGAATATTGTGAGGTATGTGGGTGCCAATTTAACCTAAAATCTTAAGGTGTTTGGTATATTGGTCCTTTCACTTATCTGTTCCATGATTAGCACATTTTTTTCCGATGCGAGACTTTATTACTCACACATGAATTCCCAACTATCTCGGCTTTTTGATCATTGTGCCCTTAACTACATAAAAAAATACCACTTTGCCCCCCTATCAAAAAATTTCACCTATTTGCCTCTGTTTGAACATTGACCGCGCAATATACTTGAGTACAGACCCATATACTCGAGTATAACAACAAACTCCAGTATATGGGTCTATACTCGAGTAAATATTCAACATCTGGGTTTTTCTGAACATTTACTCGAGTATAGGACCCAAATACTCAGGTATTTGTTGTTCCACGCAATATACTCGAGTATATGGGTCTTTACTTGAGTATATTGTGACCAAATTTCCTACAGGAATTTTCCAACGTGTAGCTCACGAAAAGTTATATGGAATAAAAAAAAAACAAATGCACCTGATTCGGACATCCGAGGCAAAAGTTATGACCTTTCGAACTTTTACTCTAAAATTTTCACAATTTTGTAATGCCAATAGGTTTTGTAATGCCCACAAAGCTTTTCATCAGGTTACTCGAGTCAAGTCCAATATTATGAATATATGACTTAAGAAACTTGTTTGATCCAAAAATCTCGTGGAAAAAACTTTAACCATAAAACTTCGGAAAACCATATTTTTTGACTTGAGTGTCTGAATCAAGTGTTTTTTTTTTATTCTACATAACATTTCAAGAGCTACGCGTTGGAAAATTCTAGAGTAAGCCAATTACACGTACCTGGCCCAGACCAATCAACCATTGGCTCTGATACCATTCTTAGTTCCACAACATGGGTTTTCCACAGCCTATGAACCCGAATACCAAACACCATCTCCAAATACTTGGCTCAGCCAATTACTCCTAGTTGGCCCAGACCAATCAACCATTGCCTCTGGTACCATATAAAATGTCAATTCAACTCAAAATCTTAAAGTGTTAGGTATACGAGTCCTTTCACTTAATATGTTTCATACTTAGCTCATTCCTTCATGACGCGAGACTATATCATTCACATTTGAATTCCCAATAATATGAAAAGCGCATGGTCCATCCTTCAAGCCCGATGGGCTTTTATGTGGGGTGTGTGTCAGAGATATACAATATAAAACTATTCATGTGCGCGTCACCTAACAACTTAAGTATTTGGATTGAATTTGTTGCTTTACAAGAACAAATGGGAAGTTATAATAAAAATGAAGAAAAAATGTGGGAGAATAATGTTTAAGAGTTACCAACTGAACAATAGAATCCCAAAAAAGCTCAAATCAAAAGTGCCCAAACCAACTGCAAAGAAGAAATTGTTCTTGTCTCTTAAATGATTGACCTAGTCGTAAAAGTTGTTTTGTATTCTTTCAAAGTTTTAAATATGATGGGTGCCAAAGAGTTTTTTGTTTTATTGGTTGAAATGGAATGCTAGCATGAAAATGTGTTTATGGCTTCTTTTTTTATGTTCTGCTAATGCTTTCTTAAAGGGAGTTTCAATTTCTATCTTATCCTCCCCATTTCTCCCTATTAATTATTTTTTTTTATTGAATTGAAAACTATGTTATCTAATTTTGAGTTTGCATTCTGATACGACTTTAGGGGAGAGAGTTAGTTGTGAGAGAAGACTCTAGGCTGTCCAATAAGCAAGGGAGTGGGGATTTGGAGGGAAATTTTGTTAAGTAGTGAAAATATAAAGAGGGAAAGGGGTGCGGCAAAGGAGGCAGACATTTGGTGAGTCGATTTGGGATACCTTGGGTGTATTGGGAGAAAGCAAACTTTGCTAATTGTTGGAGTTATTTCATTATATTATACGATTTTGTAATCTAGGTTTTCCATATAGAAATACTATTAATCTATGTTTATTCTTCTTAATATCTAAAATCTCTGGTATTGATAAATTGTTATTAGAGCTCTCAATCTAGGAGCCGAGAAATCCAATTTAAGATGATTCCATAATTTGATGGGGTGGAAGACTATTGTTGCTAGATCCAAGTGGAGCAATACTTCAAAGCTAAAGGAATACACTCAGAGCTAGAAACGAAGATGCAGAAAACATCCTTTGGGGAAGAGATAAAATCTATTGAGGTGAAAATGGTCACAGTGATCGTTAGGCATTGCTCGGAAATTCCTCACGCAATCAGACTTCAGAATAAGAACACAAACCATAGGGAGTTTGAGATCAAGGGATTTTTCCGATGTGTGCGAGTGGCGTAAGTGCCGGAGCCAACAGTGGTGGACAACCCACCTCCATTACCAAAGCCACCGGACATGAACCTTCGTAAAAGAGAAAAATAGTCTTTGCAATGAAGACAAGAACAAAGAAGGTGGCTATGAACGCTTGCAAAACTGAAGAAAAAGAAACGAATTAGATTTGGAATAGGATCTCCGCAGTGCAACCATGGACGATGGCTACAAATGCCTCTGAAGAGAAGAGAGTGAACTAGCTCACAAAAGGGCTTAGGCCGATTCTAATAAGGGATATATGTCATTTATTTTCTATTAATTATGATGTTTCGGCTTGTAAGTCCATGCTTGGGTCAAACTTAATTGGACCCAAGACACCTAGCTTCTTTCCATCAACCCAAGATAATGTAATTTCTTTGGAGAGCACACAAACCCCATTCGACCACGACACCATCACTGCTCGGTCCTGCGCGGCTATGGAGAGGTAAATCCTCATTTTATTATCCATAGATCGAATTTGGGACCATTTTTCTTGGTGACAAAAATGTTGCTCTTTGCTCGTCAAAGATAGGAAAACTCCCAGGACAAAGAGCAACATAAAGGAGAAGTGAATCCATACCTAGCAGAATTGTTACAGTTAGTGATTTGTTGGGGTTTTTTATAAGAACATCCAAGGCATTTTCTTGCCTTTTTTTATGAGTTTTCCTCGTAGTTAACACCTATGTTTGATAAAAAATAAAGCCTAAGATGAAAGGAGAAATAATTTGTGTAATTGATGATGTTGCTAAGCATTGTTGTAAAGCAGCTCTTAAAAATTATGATTCTTAAAATTTTTCTGAAAACCGAAATGGTTCAACTTGAAACCAGTTCCCCAGCTAGTTCGATCCAAGTATTAGATCAGTGTTGCACTTGAACTGGTAGGAAACCGATAAACAATCCTGAGTTGAGTTCGATCAGTGTCAAACCGATGCCAGTTTTATGTTATTTTGTGTAAAATATTTTCCAATTACCAGTGCTAGGGATCGAACCCGTGAGAGGTGATTAGACACTTGAAAGACTTACCACTAGACTAACTCTATTCCAACTCTATTTGTTGGTTATAGTGCTTCTAATTTTGTATTTATTATATAATATTATATAAATCCAATCTAACCGGTTGAACCAGTGACCCATTAACCAATAACCCATTGATCCAGTATCCCAATCGAGTCAATGACTAATCCGAGTTTACTAACATTGATTCTTACCTTCCATCTATTATATGGCGTCCAAATGCATTACTCCTCGAAAGTGTAATAGCATAACAATGTTGTTTTTACTTTTGGAAAAGTAAACCTGTTTTGCCGCAATAGCGTAAATGCAACACAAGATGTCCTTGATTGGCTCAATTGC